TGTTAGCTGATTTATTGACAGATGTAGAATATTCACTTGCTTATCTGTACTCAATCTTGTGCCATTCATTCTTAAAGGTTAGATCTTTATTTTTCATACGAATGTGTTGAATTCTAATTGTTCTTTCGTTATTCCATTTTGCTGTGTACTACTCACAAAAATATATTAGTAGTACATTGTGCCATACATTCTGTTGTGTAAGGATGTTGGACAACAGATCTGTGGATTAAATTGTGAAATGGAGAAATGAAAGATCATTGTGAAACAATGTAGAATGCTTGTAATGAAGACGAAAGTAGCAGAATACGAATAATTTTTCCAAAATTGAAACTTCATTGTAACAATTTCGCATTTCTCTATCACTGTATATCAATTTTTATCAAATGAACAGTTCCGTTAGTAAACAACAATGCCGCGTTCTACTGTTACATCATCACTTTAATGCTCTGGTAACTCTTCTTCCTTATCCATGCCCATTTTATGCAAAGAATTCGACAATGGAGCAAACATATTGCTTGGACTAAAGTGGTTAATATTATCATTAATTATGAAATTAGAATAGAGAATCGATTGATCAACTAGAATCATCTTGGAGAGTTTAAGTATTTACTTCCTTGCGGATTTGTGGGTAAAGTTTTCATGAATTCTCCGAGTTTAGTCCCCTTCTTTTGAAGGAGAATAAACACACAAGTTAGCTGAAAAAACATTCTTTTCCCAAAGTGTCATGTTTTCGTCATATATAGAAAGTACAAACTTTCTGCATATGACGTAAATAATCCAGTTGTATTCCATTCTACTTTGTTTGTGTATTTGTGCGTTTGATATTCCTCTTTAGAAGTACTTCATTGTAACTAATTTTCTTAGTTTAGAAGACAAACAGATTGAGTGAGGGAATATTTGCTTTTCAATTAGATTATTCATTTATGGTTCTACTCTAATGTAATATATTGTAATTTTAATACAATATATGGAAATTTATCAATCTAGTGATGTGATACGTTTGTTATAAGAATTTTTTTCCTTCACGTTCCCCAGTGGAACATAGGGCTTCATGCTAGTGGCTTGGACTTTCTGTAGCAGTGTTTGTTTTTACAGGATGGGGTTGCTAGCCTCATGCCCAACCTTTCCTCTTTATCGGCATTATTTCTGGCTTGGCGAAGTAAAGGAGTGCATCTCGTGCCGGGTATCGAACCCCGGACCATGTGAATGGTCGGCGAGTATCCTAACCGCTATACCATCGACGCACTGTTATAAGAAATAATTAGCCAATATCAACATGTAAAGGGGTTGATAATTAACTCAGAAGAAGAATGTAACACATAAAGGGTATGGCAGCCGGTTTGAACGTTAGGCTAACAAAACTTCCATCTATTATGCAATATTATAAACTCGTAGAATAACTAAGTGAAAAACGGCAACGATATCCTATTTGGCTCCTATCCTATGGTTGAAAATGGTTCTCAATGGCTGGTGCAGATGCATCCACTCCTTGTGACTTAAAATACCCAATAAAACTATATTGTTCTTCAATATTACTATTCTTTTTGTCTCATATCTCTGTTTACTATCTTTATTTTGCATTTCTTTTTTACTTTCTTCTCTGGCTTTGTGTGCTGAGTGAAGTGTGGCGACTTGAACTGCTGCACATCGGCGCAAAGTTCTGAGTTGAAACCAGTCAGTAAGGCTCCACGTTCTATGTGATAGAGAAAGTGTTGTTCAGCGAGAAACTTATAAGCTGTGTATAAATGGCTCTTTGGTTTTCTCTCATTTGTAGATCATGGTGACATTATCTCCATTATCATATAATTCTAGGTAATAATAATAATATCACTGGTATCATTTTGTACATTTCTGAATTCATTGTTACCGCTAATGGGAAAAAAAGTTTCTTTTAATCAATTTTAATTACCTATAGCTCCTAATCTGTTTTTTTGATGCGTAAATTAAATGCAATATTGTAATAAATGCTGAGAATTCCATGCTGTATCAAAAGTGCTGTTTCGGAATAAAGGAAATTATTATTATTAAGTGAGAAATAAATAAATGTTCAAATTGATTACATAATATTGGTTGGAGGATTTCATCGTGAGCTGCCATCAGTTAGAGAACCATTAGGAAACCTGGAAGTACTGGACAGCTGTTTCGTCAGTCTAGTTTGGCACTCTCCACCAGTACGCACATACCGCCAAGGTTCGAACCGAGGACTTTCTGGTAACAAGGTGAGCTTATAGACCATTGCGCCACTGGGGCCCGATCCAATGGCCTATGAATTCTAACTTCTGCCAATTCATGACATAGCGCGACCACTTCGCGATGTCTTCTTCGATGAGTCACTGCTTCACCTTCAACCTGGCTTCGAAACCCATTGGGTGCGTACTGATGAAGAGTCCCAAACTAGGACGAAACAGCTGTCCAGTAATCCCAGGTGGTTCTCGAATCCGCGACCCTCTGGTTGGAAGTCAATTGATTAGAACCGGTGAACCACAGCTTCACTTTTTAGACTGAAGATGATGTGTTCGTGTATGTATATATGGATGTAGTAAATTAAATATGTTTGGATCTTATGCGAACAGAGAACTTCAACTTGATTATCGCCTTGTATGCAGCTGTTCATTGATGATGTATTGTTAACGCATAATGACTCGCATGAAACGATTCTTTTTATACACACGTATAAGTCTGTTGTTTGTTTATTTGATCGTTATACAACACACGCATGATCTTAGTTCATTTTTAACAAAATTATCATACAACCCACCTAAAATTTTAAGCTTAACAAATAGTCATCTCGCATATATATATATACATTGAATATAAAGGCATACAGATAAAATTATATATTTTTTTTCTCTCTTAAGAGATGTGAACACCATTATGTTAGAGAGAGAGAGAGAGTAGTTAATGCATTAAATATTTTGGCAGTCTAAAGTTCTACATAAATCTCTATGTCTTAGCATCATTTGTATACCCTTTTTTTCTCTCTATAGTTGTGTGTTGTATAAGTGATTGTCTGTTCATGTGAACCCGATGTGTATTATCATTACTACTACTGTTATTATTACTATTATTACAGGTTAAAAATTGTGTTTTTTCAGAAAATTTCAATGACTTTTTGTTCATCATCCACAAATATTTGACAAGTGATAATATGATTGTCTTATATACATACATATCTATACCTTAGTGAGTAGCATTATCCTTCAATTTCTACGCAGACATATTCAATCGTTTATGCATACGTTTACGTGTGTCTGGTATGTATCATCTTAAGATCAGGTTATTCCAATCGATAAGTTGCTCTCTTTGGCATTAGGATTCACTGTATGCCATGCAATGTTATCTAACTCTCATGATATGATGATTGTGTCATAAGTTTGAGATAAAAATAGCTAGTATCCAAGGTGCCTATTAGCCCTGATGCAATCAGTCCTTACTATTGCATAGTCTTGTGGTGGGGATTCAGGTACATCCAGATGACGAGTCCCAAATAGGATGAAAAGTTCAATCAAATAATATCTTTCTGGTAGTCGTTTACAACAATCTTGTTGTGATAGTGTTGGATTATGGATGCAACAAACGCTTACAATAGTACCATTATCAGGCATCTCTTTGATACGGGTCATGAGGTGGAAATCGCAAAATCCCTTAAAATTTTCATTAAACCAAGGACCTCGATTCTCCTCAAGTTTACCGAAGCAATCTCTATAAAATACCTGAAACCCTATTTATGTGTTCAGAAAGAAGCGGTTATCAGTCTTTCCTTGCCCTGGTAATTGGATGTCTTTATTCTATTTCATTTGATTGCGTAATCTTTAGCTTTAACCACACACACACCCTTTGATATAATATAATTTTGCTTGTCTCTTGCTTCTATGATTTGAGTTGAACTCAGAACATTGTTAAGGATTTGGTTTAATTCCAATGCAGATTGTTGTGATAGTTTAAGTTTTTATTGAAATATCAAAATACTTCAGTTTTACTCAACTTTTTTTTATATTTTTTTTAGTTCTCTGTCATTGTAGTATGGTATAAGTAGTGACAGTAATGTACAGGAATAGCGTGTCAGATTAAAGTTTTTAAATCTGGTTAGTTAAGAAGGTTTATTCTTCCTGTTATATTCTGTCTGTCTGACCATAAAGTAAGCTTAATTTCTTTTTGACAGGTGATTGTCAATTGTGACTGTTTGAACATTTGAATAAATAAACAACCCTATGGTTATAAGGAATATAATTTGTAATCTTTCCAATACATTTCCTGTCTTATCACTTTGTGTAAACCTGGTGAATCATCTTTGTCTTTTACTCTCTGTCTATGTATGATTGTATTTATCCTAAAAATTGAGAAAGTGTTAAGTTACCAGTCCTTAAATTTTGTAGTTGCCTTATCACTTTCGTGAAACAACCTCCTACTCTTTAAAGGCGATGAATATATAACTTACTTTACAGAGGCTGTGAACATGTGATCTTGAGAAGAAGACGGAGAACACAGCCTACTCATTCCGTATTATATGATATAATTTATGTGAGTAGACTATATATATATATACAGACTATATCACTAATCTATTGGTTTGGAATACTGATTCCGTATGTACTGATTGGTGCGTGGTTGGTACAACGGTAGAATACTCACCAACCACACATGTGGTCCGGTATTCAACCCCCGGCGGAGACAAACCTTTACCTCATTTAGCCAGTGTCAAGATCGGTAAAGAGGGAAGGTTGGGTATGAGGCTAGCAATCTCACCCCGTAAAAATAAAACACACCACTGCTACCGGAATTTCAAAGCTCTGACTTGAAACCCTATGACCCGCTAGGAAGTTAAAGGAATTAAAAAAAAATGTACTCATTGACTCAAACTGATAAGCATGCACAATCTAGACATCCATAGATAGAAAGTTTTCACATGGTTTTCTGCCTAGTATCATTTCATACCGTTTAACAGGAAATCCCTGCTAAAGTAGACTTTTCTCTCCCTCTCTCTCTTGTTTCTTGACTAGGATTTTGGTCAGTATAGTCCAAATGGAAATTATATAATGCAAACAACGGAAGGTGAACAAATCGCTCAACTTATATCTGGTTATGTGGATATTATTTTACGTAGACAACGTAGTCGTGATAATGGTCAAACAGAAGGTGATGAAGAAAATACAATTATTGAAGAGAATATTGCACCATCAAAGTAGGTTGTTTCCGCCCCCCCCTCCATCCCACCCCCTGATATTTTGTTTATCTTTTAGCATATTCTTATTGCATAATCGTACAGTAGAATAACATGACATACCTTGTACAGAACTGTATTAGTTCACGTTATCACGTTTTGTAGGGGTACGAAGGAAAAGAGGAGGATACTACAGTAGACGAACATTTTAGATAGGAAGAAGAGTGACAGAGAAGAGTAGTGAAACTATCGTCAGTTCTGAAGATGATAAATTATGATGGGGTCGTCGTCATCACAAATAAATTTAAACAGTTATTATGTTTAATTGCTTCAATATGATTTTCTCAATACCTGTTAACTGTTGAATTGAATACAGTTGTGTTCTCTGAGCTGGTTGATTTAATTATGGAGCTTTCGTCGTCCTTCTAGACAATATCTTCAGCGTGTTCCGGTTGGCTTGCGTGGGGTTGTCTATAGGTTCAAAAGGTTTATTTGGTAAGGACTTGTAGCACTGGGTTCTTAAGGTAAGGAATATTGTTCTTGAAGTGGATTAGCTAGGTCTGCGGGCAGATGTGAGATCATCTTGATCTATCTATGGTTTTGTGGATCGAATAGATGTGATTCTATGTCAACTTTTGTTCAGTTGAAATCATCACACACTTAACGGCACAGGCAAAGAACGCAGGTTATAGGTATTAAAGGAACCTGACACGGTTAGTGGGAAAAATTAGAAGTAATACCTCTGAGTGTAAATTAATTAATGTGAATGCATAGAATATTCCTTCGAGATGATATTCATCTGTCTCTAAAGTTCGATTTCTTCAGATGATGACAACACGTCAATTTAACAGAAAGGTAAGTGCTGATCAGCCAACACAACTGAATCCTCGACTATTTGTTTCCTCAGGTTACTCAGTTTCAGTTAAACATCCTCTCAGGATAATATACATTGCAAAACTAAATTATACAAAATGAATAAGCTTAAATTTCTGATATGCTTTTGACGCCTTACCGTCCATAAAAAGCTGCCGAAGTTTTCCTCCACCGGTTCCGTTGACCTGACATCAATTTCATAACTTTTATCTGTTGTATCTTCATGTACTTTTGGTACATACCTGTTGTTTTTCTAAAATTCAAATCTTTCTGAATTTTATTTTAAAACATTTAACGTTTTGCTTAACTTCTGGACGACGTGACATCGTTTTTTCTGATTTCTTTGAACTGCGCAGCAGTCGACTCTGTCCTCCTTCATCGCTGTGAGACGTGGTTATAGAAAGTGGAAGACATGAAAAGGCTAGCTGTCTTTGATTATAGGTGTCTGTGTTTTATCTCCTGCGTTAAGTGGTATGATATGGTAAATAATATTGAGGTTAAGCGTAGACTTCTAGGTAAGAAGGGTAAGGAAATAGCACCGATTGAGATGGTAGGACACGTGTTACACATCTAAGCCTTTGACTTCATTTTCGAGTGGCGCTAGATGAAATTGGATCGGGTTAGAAAATAGTTGAGTAGAATGTGAACACTTGAACTGCTGCACTTCTCTTCAAAGTTCTATGTTGAAATTCAGCTAGTCACTTAGTCAGTTACTCGAAACGTTCACAAATAGAAAAGTGTGTGTTCCACATGACACTTTTAAAATTCAATAATGCTTATTATTTTTTGAAATATTTTTGGTTACAGCTTGATTCCGCACCTTATTTTTGGTACAGGTATGGAATTTTCAGCATGTGATATCGGTAGCCCTAATTTTGCATGCCGACCATAGATATCATGTGTGCATCGGCAGGGGATCGAACCCCAAACCGTGTGCATTGTCGGTGAGAGTCCTAACCGCTGTGTCACCGACGCGTACTACTACTAACTAATAAGTTTGGTATATTTAATCTGTCAACAGTCATAGCTCTATTAGTAGTGTACAGAAGCAAAGCAATCTGCATTCAATCAAGCCTGTTTATTTCTCAGTTGGTGTAGTGTTAATAGTCAATCTAACTACACGCAAACGCACGAGATCTTGTCTGTCTATCAAAAGAGATAAGCTAATTTCTTTTAGACAAATATCTGTCCTTTAGTCTTTTAGATTGTCTAAAGAATAACAGTCCTACCTGCCACTTTGTGTATCTTTCTGATATCTCCATAAACACAATTATCCTGAAAGTGTTTTAATAAGCACAACTCAGTAGTTAACAGTGAAGTACTTGAATCAATGATCTTCAGAGCTTTCAATGTTATTCACCGTTCATTGGTTGTTGTTGTTATTCTTATTATTACTAGTACTCATATTTCTTTGTGCGGTCAGCAGCTCTATTGTTAATGCCAGTATGTTGTATGAATCGTAGGTGAAAAGTCGTGTGTGTGTATGTGTGCTTGTGAGTACCTTTTATCTGTTGATAAACTGAGATAAATATTGAAAACAATGCAGACAGGTGAAAAAAAAAACAACAAACAAACAAATTCCTTGTCTCATAGGTTTTAGCTGATATTGAAGTTTAAATTTCATGAAACTTTTGGTTGCTTGTTTTTTCATTATACATGTTGAATACTTGTGTTCAGTTGTTATTATTATTATTCAATCTTGGTAAATGTTTTGTTAAATCATATTTATGATAGATATGTCATATGAATTGTCGATTTCTAATTTAAACAAATCGACTACACACCTTTGAATTTGTCACTAATTCATGTGGTGTTTAGAATGAACATATAACACCATATACTACTGATTGGTCGATATGAGTAGTCGCGGTGTTTACGTGAATTAGTCACTAATATCTACTGTCCATCCCAATCGAAGTGATCTGAGCATCGGACGGCCGTTTCACCCGTTTGAGGTCGAGCTCACCAGTGACGTACTCGGCATGACTTATCCCAGACGGCTGAATCGGTTCAAACTACCCAAGTCCTCGCTAGTTACTTGCATTTCGGCTTGCTTTCTTGATCATTTGTAGTATCAAGGTGATCAAAGCTCCTGATCTGAATAATTTTGGTTTAGAAAGAACTTGGCTAATTTTCGATTATAGCTTGACTCCACACCATATTTTTGGTACAGGTATGGAATTTCCAGCATGTGATATCGGTAGTCCAATTTTGCAGGCCAACCATTGATATCGCGTGTGCGTCGGCGAGGGATCGAACCCCGGACCATTTGGATGGTCGGCGAGAGTTCTAACTACACTGCCGCCGACACACAGCGGTTATATACATACAGTTTATCGAAGGATACTTGTCTTCACCTTACACTTTCATTAGCTTAAAAGTTGGTTATTGCTTTAATCACCTACAAGATTTATTTTTTGGAGGGGGCATTTCGTAAGAAAGTAATCACACTTAATGATTCGCATAAATTTCCATTCTAAAAAAAACAGTAACAGTTTCGTCTCTCTGAATTAGGCTTCAGAAATATATTCGTGTTAAAGGCTGAAAGTCTAAAAAGTAGGTTCTCCTGCTAATTGACTTTTAAAACACGTCGTACGTCTTTCTACATTATTATCTAGAATTAAATGGAGAGTCATTGTGTTATGAGTTAGCATTAGATGGCGACAGGTGAGTACACAGACTAGAACACAGACTCAACTGTAGGATTCATGTATTTGGTAGTAAGCATTTCACTGCTGAACCTACTATTTCGTGGTACCTGTTAGGTCATATTTGTTTGAAAATTCAGGTAACTTTTGTTATTACGCAGCTGTCATGCAATCTACAGAAAGCCTTGAATCTTGGTTTCGTACTTGTCAGGAAGGCATATCTCTGTAGTGTTGAAGGGACGCATGTCGCTTTTGACGTTCGAATTCGGACCACCCAGTTCTGCAGTCATAGATGTTATCACTTATCTATTCTTGCTGGCGACTGGATTCCTGTGGGACTGTGATGGATACTAGGTAGTAACTACTGTCATTAGTCTAGTCCTTCGTTTGATGCAGAATGAATTGTATCTCCTGTTTAGCATCTCTGCTTGTTCCTGAATAGGTTCTCAGTATTATTTGTGATCTCCCAATATGAATAGTTTGATCTTCTCAAGTTATAGTGACGTATCATTAGATTTTTCATTCTAAAGGCCAGGAGAAGTGAAATTTTTATGAAGCATGGTAATTAAAAGTTTCATATTCCCGCGAAACTCTTTTATCCATAGTAATTTAGCATCATTTGTCTTCATTATGTAGATTACAGATCTTAAAACTTAGTAGTTCACAAAAGTGGCACATTTTTATAGGATATAGTGCCTATTTTTAATTAGTTTGCACTGTTATCAATCTAAATATTAATTGAGGAAGTTAAAACACTTTATGCATTAGGCTATAGACCAAGTCATAAGACACTGAAGATTCAGTCACTGAGGCTAAAGGTGGGTGTAGGGAATATGAGTGCATTCATTTCTAGAAACCTTAATGTCTCGGTTTAAGTTCTGCATATATGATATTTAGGGGTGGGTTGGTGAAAATGTTTCGAGCTTTACTGAGACAGGTGTCTAATATCGCTTCTGCCTTTCTCTCTTCAGTTATTCTCAATTTATCATTGCACCTCTATTAAAACTGACTAATTTTTATAACAGTCTATGAATTCAGTGTAGAGCAGACTGTGATATTTGAACGTATTATCTAAAAGCTTGAAGATCCTGAATATCTTAAATGAGTAACACTAATGTAAGGTGTATTTTTATTGTGTCTGACATCTTACAAACTTTCTGTTCATATAAACAAAATAACCTGTCAACAGTATTCTTCAGTCTGTTTTTCTTCATCAATAAGTAACATACTTCTCAGGGAAGTCAAGGTCATTGTAGTGACTACCCTCAGTACTGTACTTTTCAGGATCAACACCTTTTCATTTTACTCCCAGTGGAACATCAAGCTTCAAGCTAGAGCTCTGAAATTTCAGTAATAGTATTGTTCTCTCATTAGATGGGGTTGCTAGCCCTCACTCTCAATCTTCCGTCATTACCGGCCCTACTACCGACTAAGTGAGGTAAAGATATGAGTCGGCTGGTGGTTGATCCATGGTCCACAGGAGGCGTAGTCGGCCAGTGTTTTACCAGTGAGCAACCGACACAAGGTCAGCACTTGCACAGTGTGAATGTGTCACGCCTTTGTAGTAAATAAGATTCATAATTTTATCTTGCTCCGGTCGATTACTCCATGATTTTCATTCTTTGTATTTTTTGAAAAGTGGGTGAGAGCTGTTGTAAGGTGTTTTCGTTCATCTTATAACACACACCAAAATAGATATCTCACCTGTGAAAAAAAAACAAATGATAAAACACTTTTTGGAACAGCCGAACGAAACATCTGATAAGATTACAACATTACTCTAAACAAGTAATACAAAATCACACCGCACCGTCTTTCCATTCTCCCAATTTAAGTATATTGAAGCGGAAGCGCGGGAAGTTCGTTTTGCTATAACCTCAACACAGCTCATACAAATCATCAAAATGTGTGTTAAGTGAACGATACATCGTGAAACCAATCTTTCCTTTATGTTGTTGCTGTCATTGTTACTCTAAGGTTATAGAATATGATGAACAGAGTCAATGTATATACAATAACCACTTTCACGTACATACCACACTAATTAATAGCGACCATAATAATAATAATTGTAGTGATCAATTTACGTTAAACATGTGATCATTTAAGGTTTCAGGTGATTCCTGATAATAACATTTTGTTTTTCAAGTATTTACTAAATATGCATTGATCAACACTTTTAAAAAAATGTTTTTATTTTAAGAATAAATGTATGCCAATAAAATTTTGTATGATGCATAGATGACGTAGCCTTAGAGCACCTTTCTGTGAGTGGCATTATGGAGTAAAACTTAAACTCATAAAGAAAATACACCCGCCTATTAAAGTTCGTGATACACAAGCAAAATGAATTAACTAGGTAATTCTGAAGTAGATTACATCATAAAGTGATGTTAACGGATGGACTGGTGAAAAAATTGTTAAGCTATAGACAGCTGTTTCACATCATAATTTTCGGCTGCTGGAGTAGTCCCTACTCATCGTCATGTACAACACTACGAGGCTAAGCTGATGACCAGTAGGCTAAATTGTCAAACATTCTCTGCTAATTCATAATATCATACCACTGTTATCCTATGTTTGTGCTTTCCATTTTATCTCTCTTGATTCAACTTATCGACTAGAAGTTCTCATCAAATCCTTGTAAATTCCATCTTGAAGGTGGTCAGTAGTGATTAATGTATCGATGTTCCCTTGTTTAATCCCTTTAGTCCGTTAGTTTCTGTTACGCATTCGTTCAGTAGCGTTATAGGTTGGATTTATATCTGCATGGTGAAATATGCTTTTGATTGATGATGACATGTCACTTCAATCTGGCTAGCAGGTAACGGTAGTTGATCTAAGCACTGGACTGCGATTCAAATTGCCTGGGACCAAACTCACCAGTGGTGCTCACAGTTTGACTCATTTCAGAGAGCCGAGTCAGTCCAAGTCACCTGAATTCTGGCTAGCTAAGTGGGCGAACTGGTAATTTCTAGTTTCTTTCAGTCTATGTATGCATATGTGAGTTTTTATGAGTGTCTCTATTACTGAGGCGTACATTCAAAAGTCAAAGCTACAGAAGTAAATAATGGATACCCACAGAGATGGAGGTATTGTTAAGTTAGTAATTCCTTATCCTATCACTCACTTTTGTTTTCAGGTCAATTTACAGGTTATACTTTGGAATGTAGTTGTGTTAGGGAATTATTCCCGACACTGAAATCGTTTTCATTATCTGTTTTCAAAAGTTATCTTTCTTTCATAATGAATTTTAACACACATCAAACAGACGTTTCTTTTTGTATGAATATGTTGTGAAGTCTGTTTGATGTTGTACTGCTTTATTCGCCATTAAAAAAAATTTAAATGACACTTCAGGTGTAGTTAAATTTAGTCACACATGTGGCGTTTTTTATTTTTACACTACTCTCTATACTGGTACTTTTTAAATGATGTTTTGAATGATTTAATATCCTTATGGACACAAAAATAGCAGACTGAGGTAATGAAATCGAATTGCTGCATGTGAACTTCAAAATGATCTCTCGTAACACACCTTGGCTAATTGCAGTTTAGGTAATAAATTATGCTTACAATTAGTACCACTGTTTAAATAGGAGGGAGGATTTAGCCGGTCATTTTATTTTCATTCCTTTATGTTCTGAGTGGAACTTTTTTTTCCTTCACGTTCCCCAGTGGAACATAGGGCTTCAAGCTAGTGGCTTGAAGTTTCTGTAGCGCTCTTTATTTTACAGGATGAGGTTGCTAGCCTCACACCCAACTTTCCTTCTTTACCAGCATTATTTCTGGCTTAGCGAAGTAAAGGAGTGCGTCTGTGGCCGGGTATCGAACCCCGGACCATGTGCATCGTAGCCTATGCCACTGACGCACTGAGTGGAACATAGCAGTGGTGTTGTTTTCACGAGGTAGATTTGCTAGCCTCATTCACAGGCTTCCATCTTCTCCGGAATTACTACGGACTACGAGGGACTTTGAAGTGCGTCGACAGGGAATGGAACCGGAGACTACGTGAGTGGAGTGGCTGGCGAGAATGCTACCATTGAACCTTCGACGCGCTGGTGCGTTGATTTAGTGAGATTGAATAGTTCAGTTCATTTCATGATGTTTTATCCCGGATAGCTTGTAAGAATAAAGTTATTTGTAAAACTTTCATCTTCAATGAGCGAGTTAGTATAATATTAAGTTGGAAAAGATTCAGAGGTTATGAAACTAAAACCTGGCATCATTCCATGAAATTTCTGACTGTAGGTTTGGGCTACGTAGGAGGGTGTAGACTGCTTGGTTTGGTGGTCCTCGCGACTCTGAGATCCAACGGCTTGTGACAGTTGGTGATATGCCTTAAAATCCATCTCGAATTCAATGAATCTTTGTAATATCCCAGATACTTTAAGTCCTTATGTTTTTCTATGTTACTATTCCTTTTGCCGTCTATTTTTATGCATTATAGTTCTTTGATTGGACACTAGTAACTAGTGTGATGTGTTTAGACCATTCTTTGGTGCAGACTGAATTTTATCAGTCAAGGTTTGCAATGAGGCCACCATTCTAGGTAGCTCGCCATCACGGTGTACAGCAAGGCGTATTTGCAACCAACTTTGAGGAACTCATATCCCTTCTGAGATTCCAACCCGCGTCACCCAGTGAGTACTGTAGTCAGAGACGTTACCACTGAGCTATTCGGGCTCGCGATTGACTGCCGATTGCCTCCAAACATTTAATATCATCACATTATAGTTTGTTTTGAATTTTTTTTTCTCTACGTTTGTATGCTATACGGAGTGTGATGACTTCAGCTGATGCACCTCTGTGCGTTGAAACTCAGCCTGTCAGTCAACTCAAAAATAAATAATATCAGTATGTATTGATTATTATTTCTCTTAGAGTTTGTGGTTATTCTTTTTATATCACTACTACTACTACTAATTGTATGTTAACTGTATTTAATTTACAGAGCGAATGTCATCGCCAATATGAGTGCAACACTACCACGTGGGCATCGTGCTCAAGAAGCAAATTTAGCGCATAGTGGTTTATTAAGAACTGCAAGTCAACGAGAAGATTTCACTGAAGGTCGACTAGCTATTGAAAGTCATACAGTATCTCATCATAATCTAGGCGGTAATAATCTTGGCTCTGGACTTATTGTAAACACGAACGGTGGAGATGGAACATTGAATGGAAAGAGAGGAGTGAGTATTGTTGTTTTGTTTATGTCTTTTTACTTGTGGTTCGTATTTGTTTTGTTTACTGTTTATAATTATGTATTGTACATTTATGCCCGAAGAAGTGCGTAAATTTGATGAAATAATGCTAAAGGCTGTTTGTCGTTGATGCATGATATTTCACGAAATCAAAGTGTCTATTTCTTCAATAAACCTTTGTTGGGAAACTTCCATATGTGAATAAAAGTGAATATTATATTATATCTGTTAGCAGGTGGATTCTATAACTTTAAAAATGCTCTATATTTACGGCATGCTACCAAGATCCTGAAACTGTATATCTGTTGATTAGTCTGTGATCACCTAAGTGGTAGAGCGCGTTGACCACTTCACTTATTTGAGAACTTGCATCAGCCTCAATGGGTTGGTCGCTGACGAAATCTCAGCACGGATACAGAAGGCTCGTTTCGCATATGGTGAAGACGTGATATCCGGCTGGCGGTCCACCAAACGGTGTGAGTACTGCTCCGCAGCAGTTCGCTCCGTCCTCCTTCATAGCTGACTGTGAGAAATGGTCATTAAAAGTGGAAGACATGAAAAGGTCGGTTAGTTGTCTTTGAACACTGGCATCTACGTTCTATCTCCCGTGTTGGGTGGCATAATAGAGTGACTAATATTGAGGTTAGGCATCGGTCGAGTGCTAGGTAAGGAGGGGACATGTGTAACATATACCTAGGCATCGTATTCCTCGATGGGCAGTGTTAGCTGCTGACATAGGATGGATCAGGTTGGGAAAGAGCCACTGGTAGTCAGACGAAAACCCACAAAATTTATTTCAAGCCAGCCGCCACGTCAGGAGATATAGACTTGCTTCCTGGTTGGGTTCTTTGGTACGGTAAAAGTCAACGAAGGCTGGAGACAATCGGATATATGACACGAAGTCGTTCTCAGTAGCTGGCGCAGATGCATCTACTCCTTGTGATGGATAATATACAATAAAACTCTATTGTTCTTCGATATTACTATTCTTTTTGCCTCATATTTCTGTTTAGTATCTTTCTCGCTTTTGAATCTTTGCTTACTTTCTTCTCTTGCTTTGTGTGCTAAGTGAAGTGTGGTGACTTGAACTGTTGCACATCTGTGCAAAGTTCTGCGTTTAAACCAGTCTGTTAGTCTGTAATTACTTGTTAGCCTAGGATTATTAGTTTACCATACTACTGCAATACACCTTTTTTTTATAAAACCTTCTGATTGTTTATTATTTCTTACAAATGAGACAAAGAATAAAGGTGTCTATAAAGATCTTTCCACTCAAATCTCAGAGGCCAGATCAGTTTCTTGAAAGTTACAAATACGCCTTACTATGACAAGTAGCAAAACACGAAACCTAGGTCCATGGCTTCTGTCTCACATCAATTCAGAGTCTACGGTGATAGTCAGTTACTTACCATGATAATCACACTGAACACTTGACTGGTAGAATTCGGTCACCACCAACAGGAACAACAAAAATGAGACTCATGATTCTGCTTACTCCTTCAATGACTTGTATCAATGAGCAATTTTTCATTCGCTAGTTTCCGAATAAAAATGCGATAGTCTGACCTTAATGAACGTTTAACTTTTTGGATGTATAATTCAGACAAGTTGACATGAGTAAGTTGAGAACTTGTCATTTTTCCCAGTAAAGCATTCTACTTCAATCAATAGAAATCAGTTTCGCTATTACAGTACTAGAGGAAATTTTACCATAGTTTCCTATGGAAACCAAATTATTCAGATCAAAATGTGTAATCGTCTGCTTGATACCATAAACCCATAATTAAGAAAGCAAGCATAAATGCATGACGCTGTATACTACTGATTGATTGAGATCAGTAGTTTTATGCCTTTCATATCAACTAGTGGTGGCACAGCGGTAAGGACGCTCGCTTACCATGTACATGGTCAGGGGTTCGATCCCCTGCCGATGCACATCTGATATCAACGGTTGGCCTGTTGAATTTAGTCTACAGATATCACATGCTGAAAATTCCATATTTGTACCAAAATACTGTGCGGAATCAAGCTACAATAAAAATAAAAATAGTAGTGCGTCGTAGTAGCCAACCACATCAAAGTGATCTGAACATCGGATGGCCGTCTTGCTCATATTGGGGCCAAGCTCATCAAGTCAGAGATCCCGATGAGTTAGCTACCTGAGCCAACTGGTAACTCCATCAATCACTTTGCAAATTTATTTTCAATTTACACAGTTCGAAGTGAACTTTCACCACAATTTTGTTAGAAAAGTAAAACACTGGTGGTCGGTGTGAGTAGTATACAACTAACTACTCATCATCTGAACCGCTTTCGTCACATCCAATGTTGACATCATTATTAGTTAGTCATATTCTTCAAACACTCACTCCCTGTTGGCATATTATTTCATCAGTTGTTATAAAAACCAGTCGGCTAACAAATGTGTGCTTAACACGAGTGTACGTGTGTAGAAAAATACTTTACTTTTGCCTTCACTGTTCCTTTAAGATGATTTATGCATTGATTTTGTTCTCCCTCTCTTTTACTTGATTGAATGAAGAAAATAAACAATGAAGAAAACAGATTTTTGTTGTGTGACTCATTTGTGAAGAGCGAGTGAGTGAGCGAGAGAGAGAGAGAGAGAGGAAGGTACCGTTTTTAAGTGACAAGTCATTGATTCATACACATACCAGATGTTGTTTTGCTCTCTCTATATAGGAAACACTGTCGCTTAAGAAACAATGCATATATGATGAATAGGTGGGTGGGGGGTGGAGTGTGATTCAGTACTGCTCATTTTTATTATAGATACATACATTTTGCCGGTATAGTCAGTATAGCTGTGGTGACTAAGACATTTGAAAAACACATGCGTTATTTTTGCGTTAGACTTACACTTGTTGTTGTTACACATTGTTTGTTATACACATTGTCTGAATAGACTGTCTGTTTTTTTCTGTATTATCCATTAATTAGTTTATCTAGACTATAGTGTATCTATCATTGGTCGAAAAAAAAGTATTCTTTAGTTGACAGAATTAAAAGTACGAAAAATATGTGATGATTTCACGAAAGTGCTTCGTTTTGACCCGGTTTATAACCTGGACGAAACTTTGGTTAGTTGTTGGTTAGTAATAATCGACGCGAGTACTTATTCGATAGCCAGTAGTACTCATAAATCATATGATACGCATAGGATGTCTACGAGATAAAATACATTATCTCTTCGGAGAATAAAAGAACAGAGAATTAGACGACAGCTTGGCAGAAGTTTATTTCATTGAGACAAAACTATTGTGCCAGTGTGTATCTTGAAGAAGTAAGAATGATCATACCTTATTATTTGTTTCAAGTCAATTTGAATTTACCTGTTGATGGATTGATTGATTGCAACGCAATGTTCAACCTCTGTTGATATGTTGCCATCCAATGCGAAAGCTTCAACTGTGTCTGGGAATTAATATGAAGTGACTCGGTGGAGGCTGACTAACAGTAGAATCGAGGATGCGCATTCCATCCTACTTGGGACTTTTCATCTAGATGTACCTCCATTTCCCAGTGAGTGATGGTATCCCCACTGAGACTCGGACCCAGTGCTGCTCGTTTCACGCTCCAAAGCGCTACCTGTCGTGGAAGCGGCCGTACTGGGAGCCGATATGTCAGTAGAGGCCGAAAATGTTGGTCCTGTAAATCAATGTGTAAACCGAAACTGACTTAAAACAAATAATGACTAAAGGTTGTTACATAACAGGCGGCTGTCGTGGCTCAAGTGGCCTAGAGGATAACGCTTTGGCATTTGAAACGAAGATTACTGGCTTCGAGTCTCAATGGAGAACACCATCACTCAATGGGGGAGATTCTAGGTACATCCAGATAGCGAGTCCCAAAACAGTAAGAAATGAGCATTCCGAAATTCATTGCTAATCGCCATCCTTCAGATTACTTGACAGTCATTCCTTGCCGCCAATTGTGTGAAGTTCATCTTTACAATAACTTGTTGCTTACATATGTCTCCAGGCAATATTTTCGACTGTCTTTTTCAACTAAAGTGAAAATCGGGCAAACTTTAAAGTACTTTTTTAAATAGTTAATGTTCTACATAAAAAGAGGTATTGCAAACAACTGTAAAAGTAATTTGTGCATGAAAGTTGTGTGGTGTACTTATGTACTGCTTAAGGAATAAGATCTTTTATTTAAATCTCTCCCAAATATTTTAGTGAAGGGATAATATGTGGTTTGCAGATCATTTGTCCAACCTACGTAGGATAAACCGATCACAGTAGTTTACAAAATTATATATTTTTCATTCTTCACATTCCGAGTGGTGCATAGTGCTTAAAACGGCAAAGTTAAACTATCATTACCAAACCACAATGACCTTGAACAACCAATCAGAATTCAGATGCAGAAAAGTCGCATCATCGTTAAAAAATACACGAACCAAAATATTGCAAACTTGATATTTCACTGTATAGTTATGGCCTATGTGTTGTAAGAATGTCTCCCAGTCACAATACACAGATGATCTATAGGCAAATCGTACCATGTGTGATATACCCAGTCATCCAGGTGATTGTAGGTGGTCATACCACTTTGAAATCTATTGAGATTTCTGACACTATTCTTCCACCAACTCCTAACTATAATCCTAATCCTCCTAACCTAAACCTTAATCTTAAAAGTCATAACCCTAACTAACAACACAGATTTGCAGAGAATAAGTGGGATACTGTATCTATCCTCTCCAAGTTCCAAAAGGCAGGCACGACTGTGTCTAATCGGTTCTTGAAGGTCAAATTCTGAACGACCTTGACTCTGGCTGTGACATTTCAACTTCACCCGTTAAAGCTTTGAGCTTAGAAGCTTTAGTAGCGGCGGTGTTTTTCTTCTTTTATCGGTTGGGTTTTCCAGCTTCACGCTTAACCTGTCATCTTTTCTGGGCCTATAACTACCGTCTGGTAAACCAGATGAAGTTTAGGAGTGTGTTGGGTGGGGATGGAACCCGG